CTCACCCTTTCTCTTTCTCCTGGTGATCGACTGGATCATGAAGACATCAATATCTGAAGGGAAGCACGGGATACAGTGGATGGCTAGGATGCAATTGGATGATCTAGACTTCGCAGATGATCTGGCTCTTCTATCGCATACGCAACAACAATTGCAGGAGAAGACAACCAGTGTAGCTGCAGCCTCAGCAGCAATAGATCTCAATATACACAAAGGGAAAAGCAAGATTCTTCGATACAACACAGCATGCACCAATCCAATCACAATTGACGGAGAAGCTTTGGAAGATGTAAAAACCTTTACATATTTGGGCAGTATCATCGATGAACACGGTGGATCTGATGCAGATGTGAAGGCACGGATTAACAAAGCAAGAGCAGCATATTTACAACTGAAGAATATCTGGGACTCAAAACAATTAGCAACCAACACCAAGGTCAGAATTTTCAATACAAATGTCAAAACAGTTCTGCTGTATGGGGCGGAAACCTGGAAAACCCGAAATCCATCGTCCAGAAGATACAGGTGTTTATTAACAGTTGTCTACGCAAAGTACTTCGGATTCGTTGGCCAGACACTATTAGCAACAACCTACTGTGGGAGAGAACAAACCAGATCCCAGTGGAGGAAGAAATCAAGAAGAAGCACTGGAAGTGGATAGGACACACATTGAGGAAAACACCGAACTGCGTCACAAGACAAGCCCTCATATGGAATCCTCAAGGTCGAAGGAGGAGAGGAAGACTAAAGTATACATTACGCCGGGAAATGGAGATAGATATGAGAAAAATGAACAAGAATTGGATGGAACTAGAAAAGAAGGCCCAGGACAGAGTGGGTTGGAGAATGCTGGTCGGCGGCCTATGCTCCATTGGGTGTAACAGGCGTAAGTAAGTAAGAGTCGTCAGTCATAGGGGTTACAGATTTCGACCTTTTATTTGGCTTAGAAGTTGGTGAAATTTCTCTTTTACTGGAGATATTAACCATGATTTCAAACTGGGTACAGAGCTCGTTAAATCAAATATAATATCAGAGTATTAGTAGTTGTTAAGTATTAATCTGGCTAATACAAGGATCGGAGACTATGAGTATATAATAGATTTTAGATCTATTTTAGACTTAAGTCCAAAATCGGAATAATAGGAGCTGGTAAGTATCCGGATAGGGCTCCAGGCGGAGTTGACTGACGACTCAGTACCTGACAATGTCAAACCTTTAACAACTGAACAATATGCGCATTGTACACAAATGTCACTAACATCACCTGAATCCCCATGTTACTGCCCCTCCATCTCTGCGTGCAGTATGCCAACGGTAAGACTGGTTGACATACAAGACACTATACCCATGTGCATCGAAACGTCAGCACAGTCTACCAGACAATACGTTCTACCAAGGCTTAAATCTAAAATTTCAAAAACTAAAGAGTCCAGTAGTTCGTCTCATACACATGAAAATACTGATAGATGTATTACTGACATTCGTCAACTACAAAGCTCTCTAGCCGAAATAAACTGCAGACTTGAGCAACTAGCACCCCTCACGCACATATGGGGCCTTGACACTGATAGGAATCTTTAGCAACTCACTAAAGCTGAGTGTATTTTGGAGTTTGTGGCTGAAGAAGTGACGAAAAGAGTGATGTCCTCCTTCAATTCATTTGCGTGTAACCTCCCCGACCGCATACACCCATCTAAGTTGAGGGATATTTGCCTTAGAGCATGCGGCAAGCCGAACGTTAACTGCAAAGTCAAACGCCTTAGAAAAAAGTCAGACAGATCTACTTGCCCCCTCCTGTTTATGTTTGGCTGTTGTAATGATGCTAAACAGTTTATTGATTCGAGCAAAATATTAGCTCACTCATTCCATACAAAAGTATAAAAGTCACTCCAGACCTTACGCCCTGTCAACGTCGTGTAGGAAGACGTGAAGCGATAGGATTGCATGGTAGTATTACAGTAAATAACCAGCCAGAGTCAGTTTGCAACAATAAGCATGACATCACTCCACGAACACTCGATCACTCTGTTGATCTAGATGAGTCTGCTGATCAGAAACCTTTAGATAAAATACGGACCCCAACTACCAGAGTACTGACCACTCCAAGCACCCCAAAAAGCTTAAAACCATTAATAAGAATGGTAATAATAGGTTTCACACTTCACAACCTACATAATTGTAACTAATCTCGGAAAGAAAACTTTCCACACCCTTTAGCACCAACCCACCACATAGAAACGACTCCCACGTACAATAATAGTCGCAACTCCTTCCAGTTACGAGCAGCAGACCTCTCTCACGCTAGCGTAAATAGTTATAACAGAGGCTACGCGTCTAACCACCAAGGCTATTTTGCAAACAACCATAAACTTCACAGTACGCCAGTAAAAGATTTTTTTGCAATACGACCTCTAGTGACACCTCTGTTGAAGCATATAGCTCACGTTATTTCAAACCACATGTAAAACATAAACGCTGCTGCCGTGAAGTCGTTTGACTTGAAATGACGATTCTGTAGGCGTCTTAGTTTATTACGATATTTAGCTGGTATATATAATTCGTAAGGTTTAATAAATCTGTACGTTTTAAGAGGTACACAAGAATCTAAACAAGAGTTAACGATCAAATAGAATTCGTCGATAGCATCTATGAGATTAGTACATGAAAAAAAGTTATCCCAGTCTGAAAGTTTAATCAGTGAATGCAGGAGGTCCCAGTCGGCATGCTTAAAGTCTCTATATTGACAGGTTTTTTGAATGGGTCGGTTAGAAGAGGGAAATATAGGGAGAGCCCATACTACTGTCTTATGGCCACTGCTTTCAAATTCATCGTATACTTTTACAGACAGTGGGATAATATCTCTACTAAATATTAGATCGAGTATACTATCACCTCTAGTTGGGGTACGAACCCACTGTGACCAACAGTGCATGTTAATGGTTGTCGAGAACTCCTCATTACATGACTGACAGCTACCGGTACTCCAGTTAATCCCAGGATAATTGAAATCCCCAGTGATAACCTTAGCATTAAAGTTAAGAGCAGATGCATGTATGAATGCATTGATAATAAGATTATTCCCATTATTTGAGCTCTCAGGAGCTCTGTATATACATCCAAGGAGTAGACTATGATTCAGGGTGTTGACAGATATCCAGACTGATTCTGGTAAACTATTCAGGACACTATCTTCAACTCTATTAGTTGTTAGGATATCCAAAGCATGTATAATACAACCACCTCCTCGCTTAGTTTCTCTGTCACAGCGATAGAGTCTATAGTTTTGGATATTTAATTCTGAATCAGATACTGCATGAGAGCACCATGTTTCAGTGATAAGTATGAAAGAAGGCTTGGATAGAAAGGCTAATGTTCTCAAGGCTGAAATTTTGTTCAGAAGTGAACGTGCATTGATAAGTAATAGATTTAGAAAGGGCGTATGGAGTGTAAAAAAACTGAGAGCTTCCCTATTGATGTCGTGTATTTTGGATTTGCATAGACTGTGGTTGATTATGTTTGACTGATCACATGGGCGATCGCTTGAGCAAACTGTAGTGCTAGTGGGACCAGGGATTTCTGAAGGCCAAAAAAATCATTATTTTGATAAAGCGGATTAATTTGTTGAACTTGACTAGGCGGACAGTTAAGACAAGGTTGGGTTGATGGTGAGTAACCCAGTAATCCATCTTGCCCAATGGGAAAGTGTTGAGAAAAGTTACGTGTTACTGGTATATTATTTAAAACGTTTGATGTTGGGTAACCTAGTAATCCATCTTGCCTAATGGGAAAGTGTTGAGAGAGGTTACGTCTCACAGGTTTATCATTTAAAACGTTTGAGGGTACTCGTGAGGCTCGTTGGTTTACTGTGGTCTGTCCAGTATTAGGCCTACTTACATAATGATTGAAGTGGCCGTCTTGTGAGACATTTGAACCAGGTTTGACCTTATATCCTCCCTTACGATACGTTGGGTAAAGCATGGTGTCGGGAAGTATAGTCTTATTTGTATTTAGTAGGGCCATCGTAATTAATATTTATTTATTTATTTATTTTAACACATAGGTATAGGTACAAGGAGGCACCAATACATATGCGCCACACGAATCTCAATTGATTTGTGTGAGGGCTGTGATACTGCCCGGGTGCCCAAACCGAAGCAGGAGGTTTTCTTAGGAGGCCACACCCCGAGCCTTTAACCTGAAGATCTGATCCACAAGGCAGTGGAGCATCGTGAGGAGATGCAGTCCCATGGTAGCCGGTGACCAACGATTGGGTCATACGCCATTTGATCCTTTAGGATACTGGAGCACTTGTGCACCATTGATTTGGGATCCGGTTAAAGCGCCGGAAATTCGCTTCTCCTCCTCTCATTTTCGTAAACAACACCCCCGCCACGAGAAGGCAGTGAGTAGGACTTCCCTGGCAGAGGCTATATACGCGTGGCCATGTGAGAGCATTTCGAGATATAGAGCGGACTCTCCCCACTCTCGGCCGTACCAAGGCATTTGGGGGCAGGGCCATCGTAATACTTTTATTATTGGGTCTAGAACCACAAGGTTCTGTACAAACATTCTTCTTACGTGGCATAGACTTTTTAATCTTGACAGTGTTTTTAAGAGCTGTCGCATCAGGACTAGGTATTTGCTTATGGGCTTCTAATGGTAAATTGGATACTATCGGATTAGTGTAATCAGTAGATGTACATTGGTTATCAGATGTCACTACAGGCATAATAGGTAAGTTAGCACTCTTCGTTGGCAGATCAGAGTACTGGAGAACATGAGATAGGGTATCAGTATCAGTGGATCCAGCAGCTGATGCATCGTGATTTTTTATGATCTCAACATCTTTATTTTCGTTCACGGTACGTTTTTGCGTAAGTCTTTGATTGGTGGTCTTATCTGAGACTATGCGAGCGTTTCTAAACTTCGTAAGCGCGCATATCAGCCGCGGCGAGACTCTAATTTAGGGACGAGCCAATCAGAAGCGCTTGAGCCGTTTCAAGGTCACGGAGCCAAGTTTAACACCTGATGCTCACATATGATCGGTTTACAACGGATTTTAGAGAAGGGGTGAATATTGAGAGGCTACAAGGGATAGGATTACTAAAAAGTTCTTGTACGTGAGACTGAGGTTATCAAATGACTGCAGTAAAATTTGCAAATAACCGTGGTGAGATTATATTTCGTTGTCCTTCATGTTGGAGGAGAAAGTCTGCTAGAACGGGGACTTTCTTTGCTCGATTACTACTGAAACTGAATCAGATTATAATAATAGTTGCAAATTTGGTAATAAATACACCAGTAACACTGGCTGCGGCGTTTGCAGTTGTTTATGAAAATTCAGCAGTCCAGTGGTATGAGTACTGCCGTGCAACTAAAATAACACTTGTACACCAATCATTCGGAGGAGTAGGATGTATCGTGCAGACAGATAAAACGGCAGTGAGAAAGCGAAAATACAACAGGGGACGTAGTATAAAGTAGGATTGTGTAAGTAGCATTTCCGTAAATATACTCGACAGGTACTTGGAACTTATGAATTTTTATACCGTATGCAATATGATTTCAAAACATCTGAAACTTAAGCAAACATTGATAAGTTTATAAGTCATGCAAAATAAGTATGTTCACTGTAATCCATTAGTATCTTCTAATATATTTCTACGTCACACTAGGTGTCTTCTGATTGGCTATTAGTCTCAAGGTCACTCAAAATTCGTTCAAAGGTCGTCCCTAAATTAGAGTCTCGCCTCTGGTGCTTCTTAGTAAGTCGGATGCATTGGCATGGACTGTCTTGGAGGTTAGATGGTTTTAATATCGAATTTCTTACAGTTTTAATGGGGACTTTGTCAGGTATATTATAGACAATCACGTTATTACGAGAGACTATTCGCTTGGTAACTTCACTAGCGATAAAATCGATAACAGATTCTGCTTTTATAATGTCATCAAGTTCCGCAGGAACGATGTCTTTTGACAAAAGCAGTTTTAAGGGTGATAGTGTCTTTAGTTCTTGCTTAAGATCATCATGCTTTGATAAAGAGCTAGAAAATGACTCGACTTTAGAACGCATGTCGCTTAGTTGCTTAAAAAGAGTGTTTAATTCACTAGTGATGAGACTTTTACAAGCACTCCCTATACTGCCCACATTCACTATCTACCAGTAAATACATTGAAAACACAAATGTGGATTGTTTTAAAATTATATTATATTATATATCAAATCAAATTTGTACAACATTACAATCACATTGTTGTTCAGTATTCTCTTCTCATATTCTCCTTCGTCACCTGCCATCCTACCCCTATCAAAGGAGAAGAAATAGAAAATACAAATAAGCATCATTTTTAAATTGCATTATAACCTGCATTTAGATTATACTAATCAGCATGGTAGCTGACAAAACAGTCAGCATACACAAGACCCTAATTCGATAACTATTATCCTAATTATTATAACACACATCATGATAGTTAAAATTACTAGGCAGATAGTCGCAGACATGATATAATATTTAGTCATAATATTTAGTGTAACAGTTATGAGAACATTCAACACAGTATATGACGAGTTTATGATGACACTAATCATCAAAATACTTAGTAAAATAGGTGTCATGATATTCCACACAATAGGCAGAATGAATGTTCTCATTACCGAAAATAGGACGAGAACAATCATGGTGAGTAAGATGGCGGCCATAATCGTAATGTTTGTACTAATAATATGAACAAGAATTCGCAGCGGAAAAATACACAGCCGTTCAGTGAGCGACCAACTTTCAACTGATATTTCTGACCGTTGCATGCTATTTAATACATAGAAGTGATATTTGAATTTACACGATCGATACCAGTCAGGTGACTGCCAATCAATTAACTGTATATTCAAATTTGCTTTAGTCTGTAAATATGATGATGAAAATAATGCGACAAACAATTGTCAGACGTGTAATTAAAATTAATTTTTATGCGACTCCTCTTGGTTTCTGTTGCTGATTGAAAATCCCCACTATTCATATTGGCAAACAATCTGACTCGTAGCCTGTATATCCGTGAATGTATGCGTAGGGTATTGAAAGCTTTATGTTCATTTAGTGGATAAAATGTGACAAAATATTATTTTGTAAACTGTTTCCATTGTAAGTCATTATGTTGAGGAATATAAACATTTTATACGACCGGTCGGAATGAGGTACACCCGATATGCTCTTAGTGAACATATATATTCGTCTCGGTTCATCTGAAGACGTTGTAACTTGTTGTTTTGAGGTCATTCTCATATATTTCTGTTACCATTAATGTTATATCCCAGTGATGATGAAACTACAGGTAACTTCCCAGGACTATTATTGGACTAATTTTCTATAAATATTTTTATTGTTTAATTATTCAACAATTACATTATGTGTATTTATATTCCACTTATTATAAGCTTTAATTTGACCCCTAGATTATCACTATATGATTTTTCATTCTTGAGTTATGGCCTGTCTATTAATTACTGTCTCCCGCGTTCACAGCCACTTTTCGGCTCATTTGTGTACATATGTTATTTTCTATTTTATCGTACGTTGCGGTCTGCTTGTTTGGTATATAAACCGAGTATGTTTGAAATACATGATTCATATCGCAGAGGCTCGGATTGGTGTTCTGGACTTAACTGGCTGGGCTAGGCAGGAAGCGAGACCAATCAGGACTCTAGGCTGCTCGTACGGGTTTTACGAGTCATTGATTCGATCGATAATTCACTGCTCTCTAATCGCCGGTCACAAGTTATAACAGATGGTGACTCATGAAACGGCTACTTTGTTCTACGACTTACGGGTTGTGCATTGAGTACGCTTAAATTGCTAGCAAATTAGGTAACTACTACTAAACTGACATACTCATACGTGAGAGCTACCATAATAATTAGAAGTATTAGAATTAATGTACTAAGTAAGAATTTCCGAAACAGTGCTATTCAAGGCAGGTAGAACTAGAAGAACAAAACTGGACGTAAAATATTTGTAATTCTTAATCAGTGAGTAATCAGTGGAGCTTGTTGCTTCATATCTGGTTTAAAACCGTTACCGTCAACTAGGTATGGAAGATATTCAAAACTAGATACACAATGTGGACAATTATTGGAATTCACCGTATTGTTCTTCACCATTAAACGACGCAATCAAGCGATAAGTCTGTGATCATGAGCTACTTTATGAGAACCATAATAATAGAATAATAAGATCACCTTGATAAACTTGAACAACTTTGAGATCACTGACAACATGATCCATCACTTCGTAAAATATGGCTATGGAACAACTTAAACCGAATGGATGGAAGTTGTATTTGAATCGAACGAAATGAGTGTGAGGTGTGATCGATAAACGAACTCACCAATGATAAAGTGAAACGCCCACCACCACCACATTAACTTTCTTTGACCTTGTATCACTATGTCTTGTTTATTCACTAAGCACAATTACCTTTATGTTGATTATAAAACAATATTTGCCCTGTTGACTCATTTTTCCTATCCTCTAGCTACTGTTCGGTATGTTATTTATGTCTCTGTTTTTCCCTGTGTTGATAGACTGTATTGTTTATTTTGTATAGTAACGGTGTGAAATTATGTTTTAGAAACAGACAAAGTTTATCAAGCCAAATAGCTTACTTGTTCTGACTTTGGCTAAACCAAGACTCTGTGTTTGACGGTCTAGAGAATAGCTTAGAGTTACACCTGTAGGAAATTGCTTCCTACAAAGTTTCGAACAGTATCTCGTCAGAAATTCATACATTGAGTACGTTTAAATGTCTACGGAGAATCATAAAAATGATCATATCCCTGAATTGTCTCCCCACTATTCAGAAACTCATAATGATGACTAGCTCGGAGAAAATACCTACGGTGCTATTTAAGGCAGTCAGAACTAGATCAGCACAAATGAACGTATTATATTTGCGATTCGTAATCAGCGTGCAATCAAGTACGAAGGAATCATCAGTTTGTACAATTACCACGGCTGCACAACCGAGCAACTCCTACACTTCACCGACCCTACCTAGTGATGAGACTTTTACAAGCACTCCCTATACTGCCCACATTCACTATCTACCAGTAAATACATTGAAAACACAAATGTGGATTGTTTTAAAATTATATTATATTATATATCAAATCAAATTTGTACAACATTACAATCACATTGTTGTTCAGTATTCTCTTCTCATATTCTCCTTCGTCACCTGCCATCCTACCCCTATCAAAGGAGAAGAAATAGAAAATACAAATAAGCATCATTTTTAAATTGCATTATAACCTGCATTTAGATTATACTAATCAGCATGGTAGCTGACAAAACAGTCAGCATACACAAGACCCTAATTCGATAACTATTATCCTAATTATTATAACACACATCATGATAGTTAAAATTACTAGGCAGATAGTCGCAGACATGATATAATATTTAGTCATAATATTTAGTGTAACAGTTATGAGAACATTCAACACAGTATATGACGAGTTTATGATGACACTAATCATCAAAATACTTAGTAAAATAGGTGTCATGATATTCCACACAATAGGCAGAATGAATGTTCTCATTACCGAAAATAGGACGAGAACAATCATGGTGAGTAAGATGGCGGCCATAATCGTAATGTTTGTACTAATAATATGAACAAGAATTCGCAGCGGAAAAATACACAGCCGTTCAGTGAGCGACCAACTTTCAACTGATATTTCTGACCGTTGCATGCTATTTAATACATAGAAGTGATATTTGAATTTACACGATCGATACCAGTCAGGTGACTGCCAATCAATTAACTGTATATTCAAATTTGCTTTAGTCTGTAAATATGATGATGAAAATAATGCGACAAACAATTGTCAGACGTGTAATTAAAATTAATTTTTATGCGACTCCTCTTGGTTTCTGTTGCTGATTGAAAATCCCCACTATTCATATTGGCAAACAATCTGACTCGTAGCCTGTATATCCGTGAATGTATGCGTAGGGTATTGAAAGCTTTATGTTCATTTAGTGGATAAAATGTGACAAAATATTATTTTGTAAACTGTTTCCATTGTAAGTCATTATGTTGAGGAATATAAACATTTTATACGACCGGTCGGAATGAGGTACACCCGATATGCTCTTAGTGAACATATATATTCGTCTCGGTTCATCTGAAGACGTTGTAACTTGTTGTTTTGAGGTCATTCTCATATATTTCTGTTACCATTAATGTTATATCCCAGTGATGATGAAACTACAGGTAACTTCCCAGGACTATTATTGGACTAATTTTCTATAAATATTTTTATTGTTTAATTATTCAACAATTACATTATGTGTATTTATATTCCACTTATTATAAGCTTTAATTTGACCCCTAGATTATCACTATATGATTTTTCATTCTTGAGTTATTGTTTGTCTATTAATTACTGTCTCCCGCGTTCACAGCCACTTTTCGGCTCATTTGTGTACATATGTTATTTTCTATTTTATCGTACGTTGCGGTCTGCTTGTTTGGTATATAAACCGAGTATGTTTGAAATACATGATTCATATCGCAGAGGCTCGGATTGGTGTTCTGGACTTAACTGGCTGGGCTAGGCAGGAAGCGAGACCAATCAGGACTCTAGGCTGCTCGTACGGGTTTTACGAGTCATTGGTTCGATCGATAATTCACTGCTCTCTAATCGCCGGTCACAAGTTATAACGGATGGTGACTCATGAAACGGCTACTTTGTTCTACGACTTACGGGTTGTGCATTGAGTACGCTTAAATTGCTAGCAAATTAGGTAACTACTACTAAACTGACATACTCATACGTGAGAGCTACCATAATAATTAGAAGTATTAGAATTAATGTACTAAGTAAGAATTTCCGAAACAGTGCTATTCAAGGCAGGTAGAACTAGAAGAACAAAACTGGACGTAAAATATTTGTAATTCTTAATCAGTGAGTAATCAGTGGAGCTTGTTGCTTCATATCTGGTTTAAAACCGTTACCGTCAACTAGGTATGGAAGATATTCAAAACTAGATACACAATGTGGACAATTATTGGAATTCACCGTATTGTTCTTCACCATTAAACGACGCAATCAAGCGATAAGTCTGTGATCATGAGCTACTTTATGAGAACCATAATAATAGAATAATAAGATCACCTTGATAAACTTGAACAACTTTGAGATCACTGACAACATGATCCATCACTTCGTAAAATATGGCTATGGAACAACTTAAACCGAATGGATGGAAGTTGTATTTGAATCGAACGAAATGAGTGTGAGGTGTGATCGATAAACGAACTCACCAATGATAAAGTGAAACGCCCACCACCACCACCACCACCACATTAACTTTCTTTGACCTTGTATCACTATGTCTTGTTTATTCACTAAGCACAATTACCTTTATGTTGATTATAAAACAATATTTGCCCTGTTGACTCATTTTTCCTATCCTCTAGCTACTGTTCGGTATGTTATTTATGTCTCTGTTTTTCCCTGTGTTGATAGACTGTATTGTTTATTTTGTATAGTAACGGTGTGAAATTATGTTTTAGAAACAGACAAAGTTTATCAAGCCAAATAGCTTACTTGTTCTGACTTTGGCTAAACCAAGACTCTGTGTTTGACGGTCTAGAGAATAGCTTAGAGTTACACCTGTAGGAAATTGCTTCCTACAAAGTTTCGAACAGTATCTCGTCAGAAATTCATACATTGAGTACGTTTAAATGTCTACGGAGAATCATAAAAATGATCATATCCCTGAATTGTCTCCCCACTATTCAGAAACTCATAATGATGACTAGCTCGGAGAAAATACCTACGGTGCTATTTAAGGCAGTCAGAACTAGATCAGCACAAATGAACGTATTATATTTGCGATTCGTAATCAGCGTGCAATCAAGTACGAAGGAATCATCAGTTTGTACAATTACCACGGCTGCACAACCGAGCAACTCCTACACTTCACCGACCCTACCTAGTGATGAGACTTTTACAAGCACTCCCTATACTGCCCACAT